TTTTTATCAAGACAGGGGTGAGACAAATTAGAATTAACAGAGTAGCGCCAAAGGCCATTACAGAACTGAGCATCGATGATAGTGATAAATGTGAAAACCAGTCCCTAAGTGTTTGCACAATATTGTTGGCTACTTCAGATATAGGGAGAACCGGAGACCCACTGTCCTCTATATTGGTAATCTCTGTATGTAATCTACTCAAATCCAATGACAAGTTGTTATGTTGCCACACTCCTAACAAGTGTCGCTTAATTTTTTCCCAATCCCAGGTGCTAGCATTATATTTATGTGAAGTTACACATATATATGAAAAAGCAGGATGACATCTGAGGGTATTTCTAACTCGAAGAGCTTCCAACTCCTCTCCCATTTTTAGGACAGTAGCTTCAATAGCATCTAATCTCTGTTCTAGTTTTCTATCAATTCTTTCCTGACTTTCTAAGGCGGCAGTAACATTTTTTGATAGTGCTTCTACATAGTAAGCAGTGTGAACTTCTTGAGTTAAAGCAATAGCAGCTGTAACTGCCGTGGCAATAATGCTAACTAATGCTACGATTCCTGCAATCACTAAACCAATCATCCTCTTAGGTATCATTAATTGATTATTCACTTCTTTAAAAATTTGTACTTCAGGCTGATGATACCAAGGCTCTGTAAGATTGACAGGTAACATGACAAATGCAGGTTGTTTTACAATCATTATAACAGTTTTAGGTTGCTTATGAGTAATGCAATTGGTTAATGAACAATTTGTGCAATTTACTTCAAATACAGTGTGATTCAACTCATTAATACTAATATTTCCTATAACTAATAAGTATGGTGGCGCCACACAGGCCTGAAGGTGGATAGGCTGTTGACTGGTTGTGTTACACTTATATTGAATAGAACTCGTGGCAGCCATTAATCTCCATAGGTAAGGTTGTGCATTCCCCTGTTCATTTGACAATATGGGGGGCACCCATCCCCCAGGGAAAGGGGACGGAACATCTAAATAAGAATGTGATTCATTAGGATGATAGTGTCCCCAGTCATATATGAAGTAACTACTATTAGTCAGATTATGCCTTACTGGGTGCTCAAAATGACAATACAGCCACAATGGATGCCTATCCTCCATGGGTCCAGGTAGTGACCGTTCCTGGACGCAAAAGGGTATACCATGTGGTCGAAGAATTGCAGAGTCATTGGTTACTTTGTCCCAGCTCCCTGGCCCGGTCATACTTATGACATACGTGGTATTGTGATGGAATGGCTGTTGCAGCTGAGAGCCATCTAAACTTGTTACAATTAATTCCTTTATATCTACGGTCCCCTGATGTATATGTCCCATCCTTAAACAGTACTTCTGTTCCTTCACATACCCAAAGCATATCGGGGGACCAATGGACTGTCCATAATAAGTAAAGTTCTCTGTGCGGTAATGAATCTGTTACCCGGACCCCCCATCATTCTCGTGTCATTCACATATACGTGAACAGCAGGCTGATTCCACGTGACAGGGCTCAAGAAAGGAGGATCCGGTAAATACGCCCAGTAAACCCCGCCTTGTGTCTCAGCAGGTAACATTGTCAGCATAATAAGAAGCAGAGCCCTCAAATTGTTAGACTTCGCCTGTTGTTGAGCTTGTAAAGCCAGCCCCAGCATTTGCTTAATCATCGGCGAGGCTTCCTTCTGGATCTTTTGCCTTCTCATTTTCCTCTTCTGGTTCCGCTGACGGCTGCGGGGATTGTCCATCGTCAGCTGCGCCATTTTGGCGATTAGTTGCTTTGTTGCCTTGTTCTTCCACCGGGCGGACCAAGCGGGCTGGCACCCATCTAGGAATTTCTGCATCTGTAGGAAAAACACAAACACTGCCTCGGGCCCATACCAATACTGGATCGGGTCCTTGCCATTTTAGCGTTAGTGGATCTTTCCAGCGAACTAACACTTGTGCTCGCCTGCAATTTTGGCTCTGCCTTTCAAAAGCTGATACATTATCTTTATCCAAATTCAAAAAATTGAGAGTAAAAAGAGCAGAAGATAGAATATTAGTGGGAGAGTGTATATGGAGGCTCCCTAGCTCCCCCTTCTTTACTTTTAAAATTTGTGTTTTAAGGGTCCGGTGGGCTCGTTCTACGATACCCTGACCCTGAGGGTTATAAGGAATACCAGTTATATGACAAATATTAAATTGTTTGCAAAAGAGCTGAAAACCCTTTCCAGTATAAGCTGGGCCATTATCTGTTTTTATGACTTTTGGCCGGCCCAGTGTGGCGAAAGCTTGAAGACAGGTAGTGATCACATGTTTTTGAGCCTCTCCAGTTCGGGCTGAGGCAAAAAGAAACCCACTAAATGTATCAATAATAACATGTACATATTTAAGGGACCCAAACTCTGGTACATGGGTCACATCCATTTGCCAGATGTGGTTAGGACGAAGGCCGCGAGGATTAACTCCGGTTAATGGAGGGGAAAAATTAAAATCCTGACAAGTAGAACATTGTTTGACAATTTGTCGGGCTTGTTCCCGAGTCAGATTGTATTGCAGCCGCAAACAATTGCTATTCTGATGAAACTTACTATGGCTGTCAATAGCGTGTTGTAACGCAGTACAAACAGTAACTTTGTTGTCGATAAAGGCGTTACCCTCACTTATGGGACCTGGAAGCCCAGAGTGGGCTCGTATATGTCCTACATAATATTTATGCAGTCTTTGGTGAATTGATTTCTGTAATTGAAGAAAGATATCAAAAATTTCAGGTGATGTATGAGAATCAATAATAGCAGTTTCTAAGTTTTGCATTACCTTAGCCACATATTGGCTATCAGTATATACATTGATTTCTTGATCAAAATATGTTGAAAAAACTTTGTGCATAGCCAGTAATTCCACTTGCTGGGCAGAGGAATTATTACATGCATAAGTATGGGCCTGTCCATTAATTGCATATCCATAGGTTCCTTTAGAGGTACCATCAGTGAATATAGTTAAAGCAGAGGTAATTGGCGTTACACTCTGTTTCTGGGGCCAAATTAGTGTAGTGGTTTTGAAAAATTCCAACAGTTTAGAACTTGGATAATGATGAGCAATTTTTCCAGGGTATGCACTAAGAGCAATCATCCAGTCAGTGGATTGCTGTGATAATTGCTCAACCTGTTCCGCTTTCAGGGGAACAACAATCTCAAAGGGTTCAGACCCAAAGAGCTGTCTGGCCCTTTTACGGCCTGCCGTGATGACTTGGGCAATTGCATCAGCATATGGCAGAATAACCCTTTTCCGGGAAGATGGCAGGTGGACCCACTCAAGAGGTCCCTTCTGCCAAAAAAGTCCTGTGGGCAAAAACTCTGTTGCTAGAATTAAGTATTGCCATGGTTGGCCATAATCAATTTGAGTCACAAATTGAGAATTAATTTTGTCTTGGACCATATCCAAGAGTTCGGCAGCTTCAGGAGTTAAATCCCTAGGTGAATTGGGGTCAGACTCCCCTTTTAAAATATCAAAGAGGGGTTTGAGCTGTCCTGTGTTAAGCCCCAAAGAGGGACGAATCCAGTTGATATCTCCTAAAACTTTCTGCCAGTCATTTAATGTTTTTAATTTGTCCTTGCGAATTTCACATTTTTGTCTCCTAATTGTTTGTCCCAAGATAATATACCCAAGATATTGATAAGGATATTGCAATTGAACTTTTTCATCAGCAATCTTCAGTCCTGCCTTTAATAAATTATCTTTTGCTTTGCAATAGATTTGAGCCAATTCAGACTTAGTCGGGGCAGCGAAAAGAATATCATCCATATAATGGATTATATAAGCCTGGGGATACGTACTCCTAATTGGTTCAAGAACCCTTGCTACAAACTGTTGGCATAAGGTGGGGCTATTGGCCATACCTTGGGGTAAAACTTTCCACTGAAATCTCCTCATGGGTTCTTTAAAATTTACAGAAGGTACGGAGAAAGCAAATCTTTTGCAATCCTGAGAAGCTAATGGTATAGTATAAAAACAATCTTTTAAATCAATAATAATCATACAATAAGTCTTTGGAATAGCTACAGGTGAAGGGAGTCCAGGCTGTAGGGCTCCCATAAGTTGCATAGTTTGATTTGCCTGACGTAGGTCTTGCAACAACCGCCAGTTGCCAGATTTCTTTTTAATGACAAATATAGAACTATTCCATGGGCTGTTAGAAGGTTCAATGTGTCCAAGCTGCAATTGCTCCTGCACTAAGTCATTTGCAGCTTGTATTTTCTCTTGTGTTAAGGGCCACTGTTCTACCCAAACAGGATTGTCATTTAGCCAAATTATGGCCTCCGCCGTAAGGGGTGCAGTAGCAACAGGGCCTGTTAAGAAAAAGAATGCAAGGAATGATCCTGGGTCATTAATACTACATTCATATCTTTTAAAATGTCCCTTCCCCATAAATTAGCTGGTAATTGGGGTAATATATACGGTTGGAATGTTCCCTGATGACCTTCGTTGTCTGACCAGTCAAGAAATCGTGAACTGCGAAGAGGATTATTAGATTGCCCTACTCCTTGTAAATGGGTGAGAGATTGAGTTACAGGCCAATTCTTTGGCCAGTGTTTCAGGCTTATAACAGACACATAAGCTCCTGTATCTAATATTCCCTTAAATTTATGCCCATTAATATATAATTCTTTCTCCGGCCTCTTTTGCGTTATCTCATGTAACCAAAAGGCAGCGTCAGAGGACCCAAACCCTTGATCACCTCAACTACCCTTCAAAGGTTGTCCGATTGTGGGAAGAGGTAATAGAATTAATTGTGCAATGCGCTGTTCTTTATTTATTGTTTGAATTCCTTGTAACGCTGCACACATACTTTTTATTTCTCCTGTATAATCTTGATCTATGACCCCTGGGAAAACTTGCAAACCTTTCATGGTCAAGGAACTTCGTCCTAAAAGCAATCCAAATGCCTTTTTTGGTAGGGGGCCATATATGCCAGTAGGAATTGCTTGCGGTCCTAAGTCAGGGGTTAGTACCACATATATGCGGCTACTTAAATCCAATCCTGCACTTCCGGGTGTTGCTCGGAAGAGATTTTCGATAGTCGGGCCATTTCTTCGGGTGTGAATGGAGGCAACCCCTTCCTCATTATTGGGTATGCCTCGGTTGCTGCCCCTATTGTCTGCCGGGCCAGGGCTGGGCCCCTCCTCCCGTTTCCCGACGACAAAGGGCTGCCGTTTTTATCTGTTTTTGAGCGGCATTCATTCGCCCAATGCTTGCCACGCTTACATTTTGGACAAGTGCCTGGTTGCTTTTTATTGTTACTATTATTATTATTAGTACTGCCGCCCCCTCTCTTTATGCGACAGTCTTTTTGGAAATGCCCTACTTTGCCACAACTAAAGCAGGTCGCATTCCGCTGCATTGTCCTATTAATTACCCCTTCCAAGGTGGTCCCCTGTAAAGCAGCAGCGAGGGTCATTCCCTGGACATATGAGGGCCCTACATTGGCACATAATCTGATATAATCTTCCAAGGACCCTTTTTTCTGAAAAGGGCGAAGCAATGTTTGACAAGCTGTATTGGCATTCTCAAAAGCAAGTTGCTTTACCAATAACGTTCCTGCTTCCCCATCATTAATGACTCTGACAACTGCTTGTAGCAGCCGGGATACAAAGTCCTGAAAATGCTCATCGGGTCCCTGTTTAATTTTAGACAACTCTTGAAGTTGATGTGTGGTAGGTAATCTTTTCCAAGCTCTAACAGCACACGCATTTATTTGCATGTACACATCTTCAGGGTATCTAAGCTGCACATCATCACCATCAAAATGTCCTATTCCCTCTATCATGGCCGCGGTCCATTGCTGCTGAGGGTTGGCACCTGTCATTCTGTTAACTCGGCCCTGCTCTCTAGCCTGCTCTTGAAATTCAGATTTCCAAAGTAAATAATCTCCCCCTGAGAGGCAGGATCGGGCCAGCAGTCTCCAATCATTTGGTGTTAGGGCAGTGTTTTCAATAGTACTGATAAGACTCATCGTGTAAGCGGCAGTGGCCCCATATTGAGCACACGATTGTTTTAACTCCTTGAGCAGCTTCATAGGAAATGAGGTATGGCGTCTGACTCTTTGCCCTGGATTATTAGGATCATCGACTTCTTGAACGGGAGCAATTATGGGGAACCCACATTCAAAACTCTCCTCTACATTAGATAATAAAGTTCTCTGCAGTGTGCTCAGTCCTCGTGGGAATCCACTAATTAGCCGGCTCGAACTTTGATAAGGCGGAGCAGTTGCCTTAACCTTCTCGGTCCTAGGTTGGACTGGAGGTTCCCATGGAGGCGGCTTACAAGGGACTCTCTCCAAAGCTGACTTTATCCTTTCTAGCTTGTCTAACAGAACGTGCCCTTCTAATGTCGAATTAGCAGAATCAGTATGATCACGAAAATCCTTTTCTATATCCTCCTTAACCATCTCATCTTCCAAATTTCCATCATCATCAGGGATATCATCAGAAAGGTTTTCTACCTGCTGTGTCAACCCCTGCACCTTGGGGATGGAGTCTAAAGAGCGAGAGCGCACAATCCCAGTAGGGGGTTCCCACAATGGCCCCAAAGCATCTCTCACTAATCCCCAAATAGAGAATGTATCTAAGGGAGTTCGCAGGGGATTTCCTGCATGGAAATCTTTCAGCTTTTGACCTACTCTATTCCACGTCTCTAAATTGACAGTTCCCTCCTCTGGAAACCATGGGCATTGTTCTTGAACAAGTTTAAGAAATCGGTTTATCTGTTCCATAGACACCCGAACTCCTCGGGCTACTAACATAGATTTTACCATCTGTGCATATAATTGCCTTTCCTTTGACTCAGAATGCCCCATGTTTTACTCCCGATTAGGTTCTTTCCCAGGTTTTAATTATCTTAGTTTCACTTTCACTTACGATTTCGCCGGCAGTCTCGGGGGCTTCTCACGGACTTCTCCTTCGGGTCCCTGTTCGGGCGCCAAAGTGTAGCGTCCCGCACCACACCAGCCCCCATGAGATGAGGAGACGTGGAATGAAGAGTCAGGGTCGGGAGGACTGATCAGCAATCAGCAATCAGCGTTTATTAGCCAGTACAGCAATACATTTATAGTCAGTTCACCTGGTCACTTGAGTACGCTCCGTGACTGAAAACAATATCTCTTGATCTACCTGGACAAGTTCTTCATGGATGGCTTACTCTGTCAATTCTCAAGGAAAACATTTTCTTGTCCCACGCTCTGGCCAAGGACTCAAAAGAGCCCCCTAACGACACTATTGTTTTCAATGTCCTCCTCCTTGCATGGGTATACAATCAGCAAGTCCGGGGGCCAGTTGAGGGCGTGTGCCTTGCCAGCAACTCTCACACACCTGTGTTTACTTGCCGGCTCCCAACAGGTGTGAACTTCTATGGTTGGAGACCATTGTTTTTACTTTCTGAATCTGCCTCTGATGATGTCAGATGCTGACCCTCTCTGACCTTAGGCAGTATATTCAAGACTTCCAGTAATCTACTGTCTGTGGCTGTCTCCTTCAGCTGTTAATCTAGTCACTCTGCACTCAGCAGGTCACCTTAGACAGCTCAGGGCAGGGCGGAGTCCCTCCTGTGGGAGGGGTTATTGGGTCCTTTCATGCTGCTTCCATATGGAGGAGGAATCCGCACTGGAACCCCGCTGGCTCCATTCTGTCCCGAAAACCTCCGTTCCCAGTCTCTCCTCAAAAATCGCCAGACCTCTATGCGTTCCCTTTAGCCAGGGATCTACTGTCTGTGGCTGCCATTCTGCACTCAGCAGACAGCTTAGACAACAAAGGGCGGGGTACAATCCCACCTGGGGGTGGGGCTCTTAGGTCTTTTGATGCTGGTGCCACTCAGAGGGAGTGGCCTCTTCCTGAGCATATTGGCTGCTGCCGCATGGGGGATGAGTCAGCACCGAATTCCCACCTGCTACTCTGTCAGTTCTCTCCCCAAAGCCTCCTTCCCCAGTCTCTCCTTAGGCATGTCTAGCTCACTCTGTCCCCGCCTTTACTAGAGACCAGGGTAGGTGGCTGCAAAAAAAATTTTGCATTGGCCCTATAGAAGTCTCTTTGCATCTCCATCTGCCTGTCTCTGGGAGACATCAACCCTGCCGCTTTTCGCCGCTGGCTTTTTCCTGTGTACTTTTTGGACTCTGGTGCTATGGGCTAGAGATCCTTGCTTTTGGTTTAGATCCCGTTCTTCTCAGGGAGATCCCACTGGCCGTTTCAAGTCCTGATGATGCCGCCCGTGGGTGCCCCACCCACCTTCTCAGGTCTGTACCACACTCCTTACTAGTTATATTGCCCTAAAGCTGATTCTTCTATATCCGATGTTACAAGGTTCCTTTCTCGCTATTGTTTAGTTGTTTGTTCCAGGTGATTTCTCCACAATTTAGTTATAAGTCCAGGTTGGTCCTGAGATGAGGTCAGTGTGACTTCCACTCACTCCTTCGCCATCTTGATTCTCTGAAGGATTTCTTATATGGCTATATTTTCCAGATTTCCAACAGCAAATTAAATGATACAGATGTCTCTCTATGCCAGTTAAGGATACATTATTTTCCAGGTGCTTTTCTCTATTTTCATCAAATCAAAATATGGCATTCAATTTTAACTTCCATATGGGTGGACAGTTAAGAAATTGGCATTGAATAGGTCCATTTTTCTTATCTCAAAGTTAAATTAATTCTTCTGTTTTATTCAGAGAAATAATAAGAAAAGAATATATATTTGAGAACAGACATCATTTGTGAATTAAAAAACAAAAAACAAAAAACAACTGACTGGATCTTTAACTCCTAGTGACAGAACCCAAATAGAAGAAACTTTGCAAGTATAATTTTGGTTAAACTAGTCATTTGCAATCTATTTACATAAAGGCAAGAATGTCAATGACATAGGTATATAAAATATATAAGATGGCAGTAGAATACAAGTTTAATCCAACAGGTATTTATTAACTCTTTCTATATGTCCAACATATTGTTTGTAACATGGGAGGACATCAAATATTTATTTCAAAAAAGATTAAAGTGTCATTAGAAAGAGAAAAAATGTTAAGGTGTATCATATATGTATCGACTTAAGGGGATATGATATGTGTGTTATATTACCTATGCAAGGTCAGTGGATGATCATATCAAAGTGTCCTGGTGCAGTTGGGAAAAAGTTCTTGGAAGAGGTCATAATGCTGGGATGGAGTGAGATGTAAGGAATGAGGAAAAGACTGATATGTTGAGTGCACAATATGTGGAACAGTGTGGCTGACACAGAAAACTTTTTGAATTGGAGAAATAGGATGCCTGCTAGAAGAGTCAGTCAGAGTTAACTTCAAAGCATCAGAAGGTGGTTAGATAGTTAATGGTAAGCCACTGAGGGTTTATTTGAGGTTTTACAACATTGTCAGGATTCCTATGATAAGAACTGGTCTTAGCTTGATCTAAAAAAATATATATTCTCCTATTTATTGAATATATTGGGGTAACAGTGGTTGACAAAATTATACAGGTTCGGGGTGCACAGTTCTACAAAACATCATATCTATACTATATTGTGTGTTCACCACCCAAGTCAAGTGCCCATCCATCACCATCTATCCCCCCATTCCTTCCTCCACCTCCCTATAGTCACCCCTCCCACTAACAATCCCAACACTATTGTCTGTGTCCATGAGTTTTTCTTTTTAAAATTTTTCTCACAATCCATGCCCCCCTCTCCCAGCTTCACACCCACAACAACTCTCAGCCAACTTTCTATCTATGAGTCTGTCTTTACTCTGATTGTTAGTTCAGTTTGTTCATTAGATTCCACATATGAGTGAAATCATATAGCATTTGTTTTTTTTCTTACTGCTTTATTTCACTTCAGAATAATGTTCTCCATGTCCATCCATACTGTTGCAAAGGGTAAATTTTTCTTCTTTTGTAAGGCTGAGTAGTATTCCATTGTGTAAATATAGTATAACTTGTTAATCCACTTACCTAATGATGGACACTTGGGATATTTCCAAATCTTGACTACTGTAAATAACACTGCAATGAACATAGGATTGTGCATATTCTTTCAAATTAGTGTTTCATGTTTGTTCAGATAAATTCCCAAAACTGGAATTGCTGTGTGATAAGGGAATTCCATATTTGTTTTTTCCTAAGGTAACTCCATACTACTTTTCAGACTGGCTGTACCAATCTGCATTCCCACCAACAGTAAACGAGGGTCCCTTTTCTCCACATCCTCACCAACACTTGATGTTAGTTGATTTATTGATAATAGCCATTCTGCCAGATGTGAGGTGATATCACATTGTGGTATTAATTTGCATTTCTGATTTTTAGTGACATTGAGAATCTTTTCATATGCCTATTGGACATTGGTATGTTCTGTTTTGAAAACTGTCTACTTAGGTCCTCTACCCATTTTTTTTAATGGGATTGTTTGGGTTTTTCAGTGTGAAGTTTTATAAGTTCTTCATAAATTTTGGATATTAATCCTATATAAGATGCACTGGCAAATACATTTCTCCCAGTCAGTGTTGTCTTTTCATTCTGTTGATGATTTCCTTTTGCTGTGAATAAATATTTTAGTTTGATGTAGTCCCATTTGTTTATTTTTTTTTATTTTGTTTTCCTTGCCCAAGGTATATATTAAAAAAAAAAGCATTGCTATGAGAGATGTCTGAGATTTCACTGCCTATCTTTCTTCTAAGATTTTTATGGTTTTGAGTATAATATTTAGGTCTTTAGTCTATTTTGTGTATATTCTTTTGTATGGTATAAGAAAAGAAGGTGATCTAGTTTCACTTATTTGTATGTATCTGTCCAATATTAACATCACCAATTTTTCAGTCCTCATTTGAGTATCAGCTAATTTATTTTATTTTATTTTATTTTATTTTATTTTATTTTATTTTATTTTATTTTTTCGAGAGACGGAGAGAGAGAAGCCATTTGAAGGGAAAAGCTCAATCATATATTCTTTAAGAAGAAAGAAATGCATCTTTGTTCCTTCAAGACTAGTGTAAACACACATATAGCTTGTCTGATTGTAATAAGTCAGTGTTTTGAAGATAGCACAGTAAAAGAAAGGCCACACATGTGAGGAGGAAACATTGATGGATTGCCTCCTTCCTGTGCCCCGACCATGTATCAAACCTACAACCTGGCTATGTGCCCTGACCAGAAATTGAACCAGGAACATTTTTGATATATGGGGTGACACTCTAATGAACTGAGCCACCAAGGCAAGGCTCAAAACTGTTTATGGAATAGAATTATTTACCCTATTTTATGGCTTGGCTCCTTTATCAATATTTATTGACTATAAAGCATGGGTTTATTTCTGGGCTCTCTATTTTGTTGCATTGATCCATGTGTCTGTTTTATACCAGGACCATGATGTTTTGATTACTATGACTTTATAGTACAGTTTGGTATCAGGTAGCATGATTCCTTCAACTTTGCTTTTCTTTCTCAATATGAATATTTCTTTTTGGGATCATTTGCGGTTCCATGTACATTTTTGGAATATTTGATCTAGGTCTGTGAAATACATCATTTGTATCTTTTTTTTAGATGCTCAGTGTATTTTATTTCATTTTTTTAATTAATTAATTAATCTTTTCAAATACATTTGTCTCTTCCTACCCCCCACCACTTTCCCTTGCCCCCTCCCTCCATCTATCTTTTTTAGGTAGGCCTGTATTGCTATGAACTTCCCTCTCAGGACTGCCTTTGCTGTGGCCTATATTTTGGACTGTTGTATGTTCATTTTCATTTGTTTCCAGAAACTTTTTGATTTCCTCTCTTATTTCATTATTGAGCCATTCATTGTTTAATAGTGTGCTGCT